TTGGGGATGAATGATTAATCATTTTTCAGCCCTGATTCAGACTCTTTTGCGTTGTCAGTCTCACATGACAATGATTCTGCTGTGTTAGCATTAGCAGGGAGATGCATTGCGTCAAACCAAGTGCTCAGTTTTCTTTGTTCAGCTGCATTAACCAATAACAAAAATGCATTACATCTAGGGATGAAATTCATCTGCGTCACAGTAGACCTTGGTAAAATTTCCAACGGTTAGTATTAAAGTTAAAATTTTAAATATCATTAAAACTGTGGTTGATTACTGTGCTTTAAAAAGGTTCCCCGCTGCAGGGTCAAATACTGTCCAGGGTCAGCCAAAGCTAGAGGTTCTTAGATGCAAGTGCAATATGTAGCGTGGATTTGTTTGGGTCAGGGAAAACATGGCGGAATGCAGTGACAGATTAAATGACAACGCACCAGGGACTTCTCATCCATCTACGACTAAGTCCAAAGTATTGGCATATTTTGGTTCTTACAAGAGTCCTGGGGGAGACTTAGGGTGTTCACACACTTTCAGCCTTCAAAAAGAACTCAGAGCAGTGAGTCAGCATTTTTTGCGTAAATGTGAACACTTCAGACGCCTCTGAAACGAAATGAACGGAGACAATTTCCCGAGGGGCTTCTCGGTTCGGTTTGATTGACTGTTGTCTTGTTGCTTTTCTTTTCTCTCTCCTCTATCTACTCACCCCAACAGGTCAAGGCAAAAGGCCGCCCACTAAGAGCCAGGGTCTGTCAGAGGTTTCTTCTATTAAAAGGGAGTTTTTCTTCCCCGCTGTCGCCAAATGCTTGATCAAGGGTGATTTGTTGGGTTTTTTTCTTCTACAATACCAATACTAATAATCAAAATAATAATAATAGTAAGATCTAGACCTTAGTTTGCAAAAAATATAAATAACAACAAAGGCTCAACTACAAAAGTCTCAGTCAACTTATGGGTCTCTCGACGAATGATTCGACTAGTCAACTTTCAGGGTGTAGCCCTACAACCAACATATTTTGTTCATTTAAAATCCACCAGTAGGCGACTTGGTAGAAAAAGTGGTCCAAAAGGACAATGACTACAATCTTCTATATTTCTGTAAAGTTTTGATTTCCTTATAAATACTTTCACCTTCTTGAGACTCATGTGGTTTTATGTTTTCAAATGCAAAAGAATGTCCCGTTAATGAATATTTTTGTCCAAACAAAGTAAGATATACAGTGGGTACGGAAAGTATTCAAACCCCTTAAATTTTTCACTCTTTGTTATATTGCAGCCATCTGCTAAAATCGTTTGTTCATTTTTTTCCTCATTAATGTAAACAGCACCCCATATTGACAGAAAAACAGAATGACATTTTTGCAGATTTATTAAAAAAGAAAAACTGAAATATCACATGGTTATAGGTATTCAGACCCTTTGCTGTGACACTCATATATTTAACTTAGGTGCTGTCCATTTCTTCTGATCATCCCTGAGATGGTTCTACACCTTCATTTGAGTCCAG